TGGCTGAAAAGCATCCCAAAAAGCCAACCTATAAGACTAAAACATAATTGTAACAATAATGAGGTATTTAAAGCAAAAACTATTATGAAAAACACATAAACACTTTAATTTATGAAAGCTGATAGAAACCAATTCCTAGCATACCACAACATCAACAAAGACAAAGAAATAACACTTCCAATTGTGCTAGACTATAGTAACAAAAACTTTGAAATGAAAAAAATTATCAAAAAGCACTGGAACATCTGAAGAAGATGAAATTCTAAAAAATATCCTTTCAGAAAGACCAAAAATAGTATTCAGAGGGGTATCCAACCTAAAAAGCGGCAGTGCATCTCACAGGGAGAGGAGATAACCGGTCTCTCTCCCCAGTGGCAGACAGTGTTTAACCGGGAGAGGAGATTGACAGTCCCTCATCCCAGCAGCAGCCAGCAGTCCTGGGAGTGGAAATAGTCGGTCTCACTACCCAGCACCAGGCAGTGTTACCGGGAGGTGAGACAGTCAGTCCAACTCCCCAGCAGCAGCTTACTTTACAGGGAAAGGAGACAACCGGTCTCTCTCCCCAGCGGCAGCTAGAGACACCTTGGGAGGGGACAGTCGGTCCCTCTCCACAACCACAGGGAAAGATGTGGAAAGTAGAGATGGGCGGTCCCACCCACCAGCAGCTGGGGCTGTCATCCAGAGACAAGTCTCCTAGCATCTTCCCAGCAGTAGAGCTTGTATCTGGGCAGAGAGCAGTTGGCCTATGCCCACCCCTTTCACTTTGTCCAGGGCCTGAATACCCACAGATCAGCCCAGCAGAAGAGCTGGCATCAGGGCAGAGCGCTGCTGACCTCTGCCCTACCTGCCCTCTTGTTACAGAGCAGGACTATGTACCAGTCCCACCAGCAGAAGCACTGGCACCAGGGCAGTGCGCAGTTGGCCTCTGCCCACCAAGTACTTACAACTTTATGCTGGGGAGCACAAGGGAGATTGGGGGTGGCGGACACTCACTTTGCATCAGAGGGAGACAGGACAAAGCTGGACACCCAAGAGCTACAGGTCAAGTACTTGTTTGTAGGTGGGTTGCTCGACTAACTCAGGTACTGACCGACAGGAGGTCAGGTACCTGGTTAGTCTCCCCTTGGGAGGGAAGATATGTGACGAAAGTAACCTTGTCACTGGCTTTTGAAGGGGCCTGCTGGCCAGCCTCTTACCTCAGGACTATGGGCCCTGCAATATACCTTGCCCAATGCATTTTAAAAGGCTCTGTTCATATGAAGTATGTACTTTTGTACTCCAGACAGAGAGACCGACCGTTAGCCCTAATTCTTTCTAACTGTTTTGGGCATGGGACAATGTGCACGGTGGGCCAAAATTATGACTTCCAGGAAATTCCTGAACCCCTGATCTGATCTGGGTGATTTTTGGATATGTTGTTCACTCAGATCAGGGCTATCAGGGGACTTTTATGGGGATATGTTGTATTTTGGGGTACTTATTGGACTTTGTAAAAATTTGTGTTTTTTTTCTGCTTGAGGATAATTAAGTTAATGCATTATATCACAGGCAGTGGGGAGGGATTGTGTACTGTACTTGGGAGTGTCATTGATTGTCACATTGTTTTCATTGGTTTGTACACTTTTTGTCCCTGTGCCCAACAAGGTCCATCTGGGCATCACCCTTGTTGGGAAACCTGCATAAAAGACTTACTTCACCCTCAATCTAGAGTCTTGTCTCTAATTGGGGGAAACTGCTGTATCACTACAAGGGATTGCTATAATCACTATATTCCCTTGGATTCTCTGAGCTCTTGTAAGAGCTATTCCTGCTTGACTCTCTGGAGGAAGAGAGGTTCACCCACTGGAACCTGGAGCCTTGTCATAGGTCCAGGGTGGGTAGGAGACCCCAACTAAGCTGTGGCGGTTGTGGGGTCTGCAATGCTTATGGTGACTGGTGGAGTGCTTGGAGCTCTCGGTGAGCACTAGGAGCATCTGTCGGCGGAGGTACCCAACTGGGGTACAGGAAGCTCCGTTACAACATGTATGCAACCCTGTTCCAGCCAGAGTTTCTAGTTAAGTCAGGTTGCTCAGGTGGAAACTGTATAACAGGGTAACCAGGGAGTATAGGTTTCCTGTACAGAGGTGGGTTCGAAAAGAATCCCACATCTGGAGGAGTAGTCTAGTAGCAGCCAATATTGTCTGTTGGTGAGGCTGTGTCTGTTTTTTTGGTCCAGAACATGTAGCACGCATTGTTTACATGACCACTGAGATTAAATTTCTACCAATTGGGGCGTCTAGTGGGCTAGGATCATGGAAGAGAGCAAGGCTGCTTTACAATATAGTTTCATGTTTGGGTGGTCTGTTGCTTCCCTAGCCCTTATACCAACCCATATGTACTTCAAATTTTTTGGAGATTTAGTAAAAACTCCTGGGGAGGTGGATCTGTAATGTGCGAAGCAAGTAGTGGTATTTGGGTAGAAGAGTCATCTTTAAAGCTGCCAGTCTGCCATTCCAGGATAGAAAATTGCCTTCCCAATTGTAGAAGGTATTCGTGAATTTAGTCAGTAATTTTTCATAATTGTGTTTAAAAAGGGTCTGTATGTCCTTGGTGAGTTGTGTTCCCAAAAAAGTTACACAATTGTTTCTCCAGTCAAAGTTCGATTTTAGTGTTTCTGTGGTGGGGTTATCTATGCCAATGCTAAGGGCTTGTGTCTTTGCTACATTTATTTTGTAGTATGAGTGTTTCCCGTAGTCCTCTGTTTTATTAGGTTAGGAAGCAAAATGTGTGAATGGTTTTGACAGTGTGACTATGTGTGCCAACAGGATCTCAGGTGGGAGTGAGTGGGGGGTTATAGCATCATTAAAGAGCTTGGCCAGTTGCTGGGCCAATAAGTCTTGAAATCTTTGGTAGTATGAGTTAGCAAACCTGTCTGGTCCGAGCAATTTGTCTGCGGGTAACAATTTAATAGTGAGTTTGACATCTTTCTCTGTTGATCAGGTGGGTGTTTTTGAGATAATTGTGGTAGTTGTATTTTGTATAAGTAATGTGTTATGTCTTCCCGCATAGGTTGGTGGGTGTTCGGGTCACGGTTTAGGTTATATAGGTCTTATGTCTTTCCGGGACATGAGTTTGTGGTGATGTTAAGTGTGCAATTGCTTGGTTGGCTTGTTTTTGTTTGAGTCTGTTGGCTAAGAGTTTTCCTGCTTTGTTCCCTTGTGAATATTGTGTGGCTATCATCGTCCATAGATTGAATCCCACTTTGTTTAGGGCCCACTGTTGTATGTTATGTTTGATTTGAATTAGTAGGTCTGGCGATGGGTCTATTTGGTGTCTCATCATTAGGTGATAGACCTCCTTTTGCCATTTGGATAACGTACGATGCCTGTTTGATAGGTATTCTCTTTATTACCGCCTTATGGGCTAACCATTTAGTGTGGCTTGGTATGTCTCGGGTTTAGTTGTCCATGAAATACGTGTGTTTGTCTGTCATGAGTGTCTTGACAAATTCTTGGTCATGCAAGAGGTGCTCATTGAGTCTCCATAGGGCACGTTTTTTGTAGTCTACATGTCTTTCAACATCATAGTAATCGGTGCATGGTGAGACCATACAATTTGTCCTATGGAACTATCTACTACTTGATTTAAATCCTGGCCTCTCATCAGGAATCTGTCTATTTGGGAGTATGTATTGTGGACTGAAGAAAAATAAGTATATTCTTTGTCTTCAGTGTGTGTGATTCTCCATATGTCATATATTTGGTGTGTCAACAGTAGTTTTGCTAGAGCTATGCATTGTCGTTTCAGTGGGCGGTGTCTGGGGCTGTGGGGGGATAGGGTAGAGTCTGTATTGGGGTCCAATACATGGTTAAAGTCTCCACATATTATCATGATCCCTTGTTTTATGGAGGTAATCCTTCGGAAGGATTTTGTGTATGAAATTGCATTACCCTGTGTTAGAAACATAGATGTTTGCTACAGTGTATTGAACATTGTTGAGTTTACCAATAATTATATCAAATCTCTCCTCTTTGTCTAGCTCCTGTTATACCAGTTCGAATGCCATCTGTTTACTAATTAGTATCAACACTCCTCTGGACTTGGTGGGTGGCTTGAAATTGGTGAGGATAGGTGTTGGTAAAAAGTGTTGGGTAGCCCTTAACTTTGAAATGGGTCTTCTGCAAGCAGACCACGTCTGCTTTTTAAGTTTTAAGGTCTCTGTCTAGGTGGTGTCTCTGCACTGGTATTTTCATCCCCCTGACATAATGACTCTAGATTCTCATGGGGGTTTGAAGTTCAACAGCCTGCTAAACATTAACCAGTACACAGTAGTCAATGGGGGCACGGGCCTTCCCAGCAGCTTCGAGCCGGGCAATACCTCCTCTAAAACTCCCACCCACGTCTCCCCCAGTTAGCATGCAGTAGTGGTGGCCGTGACACACCCATTCTGCATCCCCCCATGTACGTTTGGACCCGGTACCCTGGTCTCCCATATTGCCCAACTGGCCACAGCAAACCTGAATCTTTGTTGCACAAGTCAGCTCAAAAGAATAAATGAAAAAAGGACAATAATAATCACATAACCAAAACAGTATAACAGGTTGTGCCATCATAATGGCTGGATACCTAAAAAAGGCACCCTGGGGGTAGAAGCAGCTAGCTCCTGTCCTGTGTAAGCTACCGCTATATTAGCCCTCAGATTTGCTATATGTAGATATAAAAGTCCTACAATGTCTGTTTAAAAGAATTAATTGACTCATTACTTCTATATAATGGTATTTTTTTGTTTTGTTTAACAGAAATCTCCTATAGCCTGTGTCTTTATGGTGTATCCGTCCACCTTGTACACTAGCTAATCTCGGCGTGCAACTGCCTATAGGGGTGCACTAGGGGTAAAATTAGCAGTCAAAAAGTTACTATTCGTGCTTCTTGGTGTGTGTAAGTGCAGTCTATACTTGCAGTCATTAGAGACACAGAGAAGTCCTTAGCCATAGGTGAGGTATTGGAGTTTATTTTCTTGCTTTCTTCCAGTCTGGTTGGAGTCTCGGGGAGCGTTGCTTGGCATCCGCAGTTTCGGGAATCTGTAGGCCCCAGCTGCTTAGGGTGTGCAGGTCCTCTTCTTGTGAGTTGATTGAAGTAACTTTGCCGTTTCGCTGGATTATCAATTTCTGGAAACCCCCACCTGTACATAATGTGCTGGTCTCGTAGCAGGCTAGTGATGGGAGTAAAAGTCTTTCTTTTTCCTCAGAGTGGGAGCAGAAATGTCCGTGAAAATCTTGACAGTGCGGTATTTGGCAGGGAGATCCATCTTCATCCTCATGGATTTTAGGACTATTTCTTTAATATGATAATAGTGCATCTTTAAGATGATATCCCTCGGTAGTTCTTGTGGCAGGAATTATGGCTTAGGAACCCAGTTATCCGGTCCATGAGCGGCATGTCTTGGGGCACATCGGGGGCCATTATGTGGAACAGCTCTGTGATGTGAGCTTGGAGCACTTGTGCTCCTATCTCCTCAGATACCCCCTGACCCGGAGGTTACTACGCCATGACATGTCTTCGATGTGGGCCAGTTTAGCTTTGTATCTCCTTCACCTCAGACGTCAGATCATTGTGGGCCTCCGCGTGTTCCGCCATGTTGTTCCGCCGTTGTTTTCTAGCATGGAGGTGCAGGTGCCCAGCTCTTGGATGTTGCCATGGAGGTCGTAGAAGGACTGCTGGAGATAGTTTTGCAGTTTAGCTGCCATTGTAACCAGCATGATTTGTAGCATTTCAATGGCAAATGGTGTGATTGGTGAGTAAGGCCCCTGAGTTTGCTCTTGGTCGATATCGGCGCCATCTTGGCTATCTTCATGGAGCAGTGCCATTCTTAAGTGCCTGAATTTAACTCCCAAAAAATTATGTTTATCCATTTTCTCTGCATTCCGTTTTCCCTCTTGGTGGGACAATGTGTGTGAGTCTGCAAGTGCCATTTTTTCGGGCTTAATTTCTGCGTGAGGGCCGATTTTTCACGGAGCTAGCAGCACATGTAACTGTTTTCAGTCCGCTCCAGGGCACCCCCCTCATACATATTGAATTTTAATGGTGAATATCATAGGTCCTAGATTTGTTTTCTGGTGCATCTCCCAAGTATAGCAATATACTGCAAATAAATCAGCAATTTTGCTTGCCTCCAAGACACTTTTTGGTTAGGTGACATGACACTATCAATTCCAGACCCTAACCCCTATCATTAACTTACTCTAACACTAGCCAACCTTAACCCTAACTAAGGTTAAACATAGTTCTTCCTAACCTGAGCTATCTTTAACACCAGTTAACCTTAAGAATGCACTGTTCATCAGATTGCATCCAAGCCTGCATAATCATTGTCAGGGCCAATCTTATACCATTAACATACATGTATAACCTTTAGTTCAATAAATAGTTGTTGGGGTTATTGTTTAAGTAATACAAACTGTCATCTATTTTATTTCTTGCTTTTGGGAAATGTAGTTCACAAACATCGGGTGAGCCAAGGGTGGTTATCACTAGTTTAAGTGATGACATAATCAAGAACTTGCACAGTCAGCTAATGTTTCAATTGATTTATAGAAAAAAAAAAGCCTTCTAAATGACTTCTGTTTTACATTCAGAAAGCAGGTGAGCAAACTGCATTTGTTCAGATGAATATGTAGATTACACAGTCAAAGCATTTCCATTATGTCTTACTAGAACAACACTTTCACTGACATGCTTTTCAAAAGCTAACCTGTCTTCTATATTCAGTCACAAAATGCTTAGTACCACAAGTCCATACTTGATAAAGGCAGAACATTATCCCTTGAAAGCTTGTCAATAAAGGTTAACTAACCCTAATACAGTGCATAAAGAAAGGTAATAGACACTTTTCTACCATGATTAACATATTTTTTAAGGCATTAACCATTTCTTCTTTTACCACTTGAATAAAAAATGTTCAGAATATACATTTTTTTTAAATTTCCTATCATATGTTATGCTGACACATTTTATATGTTTAAAGATGTGCTTGATGAACCAAATGCAAATATACATAGAAACATAGAAACATAGAATGTGACGGCAGATAAGAACCATTCGGCCCATCTAGTCTGCCCAATTTTCTAAAAACTTTCATTAGTCCCTAGCCTTATCTTATAGTTAGGATAGCCTTATGCCTATCCATGCATGCTTAAACTCCTTTACTGTGTTAACCTCTACCACTTCAGCTGGAAGGCTATTCCATGCATCCACTACCCTCTCAGTAAAGTAATACTTCCTGATATTATTTTTAAACCTTTGTCCCTCTAATTTAAGACTATGTCCTCTTGTTGTGGTAGTTTTTCTTCTTTTAAATATAGTCTCCTCCTTTACTGTGTTGATTCCCTTTATGTACCGGACTCCTTCACCTCCATATTATATTGAGCTGCTATTTAAATTGAATTATATTGTGGGGTAACTTCTGCACTCTTAAAAGATTATTGTTTAAATTGAGTTTAAAATTTTACAACTTTTGTTAAACGTTTGTTAAACTATCTTGTCTCAGCAATTGACTTGCTCAAAGTCAAGTCAAAGTCAAAGAAAGGCTAAATTCAAAGTGTCTGCATTGAACTTGTCAAGTTAATTGTAATTTCAGAGTTGGTTTTTAGAAATCTTTAAGGCAGAAGCATACTAAGTGGTGGGAAGAAGGGCAGGGGTGGTTTGCACTGGGAGACAGGTGGCAGTGGGTGCACAGAGAAGGTGCCTGCTCTACGCATGCTGTATGTGGCTTTGGAGCAGAGAGCTAGGTTGCTGATTAAATATGTCTGCACTGACTTTCCAGCTCCCTTGCACACTGTAGAAGTTGCATTTTCAATTTAATTTGGGGAAACCATTTGTTGTGTTGAGCTATTTCAACTGCTTTTGTTTGATTTGACCCAGGACATACTTGAAAACGAGAGAAATCTCAATGTAGCTTTCCTGGTAAAATATTTTATAAATAAATAATTTGTTCATTGCAAACAACTGAAAGTCTGTAAATTTTGACATAATAAACCAGTTTGTCAATGGGGGTTGAATAATTTTTATTACAGCCGTATATTTTAGAGTAAAGGAATTTGGCTATTTCATTTTTTGTAAACAGGAAATATTATAATATTTTTTTATGGGAATTCTACTTCAAAGGGACGACTCCAGACCCCATTAAGAATTTTAGCTTGCTGAAATGTTTTATGTGTGAAGAGTATGTCCTCTTTTTTCATTTTACAAAAAGTGCACTGTAAAGGATCCTTCTATTCGTGCAGCGATGATCCTTGCAGCTTCTCCCGAAATCCAGCTGAAACAAAGTGATTATAACTCCCAATCCCCCAAACATGAGTCAAGACTTCATGAAGGGGTAAAACGATCTCATTTACCGTGGGCTACCCACCCGGTATTTATGCAGGTCTCCCACCTGGTGGACAATCCCCTAGGGGACCAGATGGAAGACTGGGACAAAAGTATCACAGTAGCCAATTACAGTGGCTATAACATAAACACTCCCCTTTTACATAAATCACTCCCTCTTTTCCATCCTGGAGATAATTAACTTAAGGTAGCAAAGAGAGCCTTAATTATCTCCAGGAAGAAAGAAACATGGCTTTTCTTATTTCAGCAAAACAGAATAAAAATCTATAACTTTCTTTTTACACAACATAAACTTTAAGTTCCACAGATAACTTGGATCTGAGTGCATATTCTAGGCGAATAGCGCTCAGATCCCACAAACACAGTTCTCAGAAACGTCGACTGAAGTTTGGCTTTCGCCAGCCGTTCGCGTGTTTCCAGCCATATGAACGAGGACTTTGGTAGGCACTAGCGGTGTTCGGCGGAATAAGTGTCCGAAAAGAGTTCCAGGGCATCGCCGCCATTTACCACTGGGCTTTCGACAATTTAAAATGGCGACCGCCACGTGTTCGGCAGACGAACACCAGCCACCCAGGCATTCGACAATTAAGCTGCGGTTAACCGCAGCTTCTGGGTGGCTAATAAGCAGCACACGCCACAGACCGGGTGGTCGACTGTTCGGCAGTTTGTTCGTCTGTACGAACAGCCTTAATCCAGCTGTAAGGGAAGTTAAACTGCACGAACCAACATACGAATGCATCAGGGCAAATGTAAAATCCAAGCAAGTACGGCAACCGATGCAATCTAGGGACAAAGGGCTCTGTCCCAAGTGCCTTAAGACCCAATAACTTAAAGGGCCAGCATCCCAGGGTAAGAGGCTAGCAATCCAGCTTTTCCATAAGACAGGGGGGTAGGGCAGTTTGTCACATGAAACCCCCGTGACAAAAGGCATTTTGTCACATGCACATTTTAATAAAAATTGTCACCTGTATGTGTTAACTTTGTTAAATCCACCCTCCTGATCCTGTTACTTCCTGGTTGTTTAGCTTAGTGGAGCTAAACTCAAAAGGCAGCAATAGCCTACAGCACCTGCCTTGCAGCTGCATTGGGAAGTCTGTGATTGGATAGCTACAAAAAGCCTTGACTAGGATAGAAATGGAGAACTTGCAAAGGCTTCAGACAAAAAGCAGTTTTGGCAAGCTATTTTTAGATATTACCCCAACTTTTTTTTGGGACAGTTACCGTACTGTTTCTACAGATGAAGCACGTAGAAATGGGGGTGTTTAATTTTATTCTATTTTATTGCATGCTCTTTCGGCTTGTCCTTTACTGCTGTCCAAGGCTGGAGGCAAAGGAAGGAGTGACTTGGGAATGATGAGACAGCTTCTAGCTGGTGTAAGATTTTAAACATGTTTTAATATATCATATTGCACACTGTGTTAGAGTTTTTGATAACTAAATGCATGCATGTTTTCCTTGTGGGTTATATCTACTATATAGTGATTTATTTATTTTTATTTAAGCACTGGAGATTCCCTTTAATAATTCAGCAACCCATTAAAATATGCAGTATCTGTTATCCAATTCAATATATTACATAGTTACAAACCTGAAGAGACACATCCATCAAGTTTAGCCTCACATCTGATTTTGGTATTATTCAAAAGAAGGCAAAAAAACAAACAAATTTGAAGTGCTTCCAAATTTACAACAAACAAGAACAGGAGTAGGAAACCTATGGCACTTGTGCCATGCATGGCACTCGAGGTGGCACTGCTAGAGCCAAACATGTCCCAGTAAAACTTCAGATATCTGCTAATATGAAAAAGTGGTGAAGCACAATCCTCA